TAGCTAGCCACTAGCATATCACACAACAGTACCCTATAATGGGGGGCCCCAGGGGGCCCCAACCAGGCGCAGGAGCGCCTGGTCTAAAGCAGAGCCAATTACCTATAGATGATCCACAGGTAAACCCTAAACCCTAAACCCTGAACCCTAAACCCTAAACCCTAGGTAGAGGGTACTGTATATCCCTGTATACCACACCCCACAAACTGACAGAAACATCTATACACTACAAACCCTAAACCCTAAACCCTAATTGCCATCCTCCTGCTGCATTCCCTCTTCGTTTGTTGCTTCCTAGGGTTTAGGGTTTAGGGTTTAGGGTTTAGGGTTTGTGTGTATCAGTCTCGTACCTCAATAAGATCAAGAGGAATACTAAAGAGACAAAAAGCCCTAGAAGAAAAAACAAAAGAAAGTTCTGCTGCTGTCTCCTCTCTATGCACGGAACAAGAAGGGTAGGCAGCAGCAGCAGCAGCAACAGCAGCAGCAGCAACAGCAGCAGCTGCTGCAGCAGCTACTGCAGCAGGTGTTGCTTGTGGTGCTATGCTCTAACATTCCCTCTCTGCTGCTGTCTCCTCTTGCTGTTCTTGCTGCTGTCCCCTTCCTGCTGCTGTCCCCTTGCTGCTGCTGTCTCCTTTCTGCTGCTGTCTCCTTCCTATATTGTCTCCTCCTTATACTATATATCCTTCTGCTGCTGCTGCTGCTGTCTCCTTTTGCTGCTGCTGCTGCTGCTGCTGCTGCTGCTGGTGTCTCCCTTTTTTAGTTTTATAGAGGCTGAGGGTTTAGAGAAGATTTATAAAATTCGTCAAGAAGATATCCTAAAAAATGTTAACGAAGTTGCTCGGAAAAAGGTAAACCCTAAACCCTAAACCCTAAACCCTAAACCCTAAACCCTAAACCCTAATTTTTTTTTAATTTTTTTTTTTTTTGCTAAAGATAATAATATATATTATTATAAAGAATTAATATAATTAATTAATTAATTAATTAATTAATTAATTAATTATATTTATTTATTTATATATTTATGCAGGTTTTTCGTCTTAGTCTCTCCTCTGGTCCCTATACTGTCTCCTTTTCTCCTGAAGGAAATTATCTTTTATTTTGTGGCAATAAAGGGACAATTAATCTTATTGATTATAGATCCTTTAATTCCCTTGTAGATATTAATGTATGTATTTATTTATTTATTTATTTATTTATTTTTTTTTTTTTATTTAGTGTCTCCTTTATTATATTATTATATTTTTTTATCCTTATTCTCCTTTTTTATCCTCTTTTTTTGTCTCCTTTTTTTATTCTTTCTCCTCCTTTTTTGTTTCTTTTTTTGTCTCTTTTTTTGTCTCCTTTTTTGTCTCTTTTTTTGTCTCTTTTTTTGTCTCTTTTTTTTGTATATAGTGTCTCCTTTATTCTTATTGGTTATATATCCGTTAATTCCTTTGTATATATTTATATAATAAAAAGGGGACTGTCTCCTTTTTTTTTTATTGTCTCCTTTATTTATTGTCTCCTTTTTATTATTGTCTCCTTTATTCCTTTATTAGTGTCTCCTTTTTTTTATTGTCTCCTTTTCTCTCCTTTTTTATTCTTTTTTCTTCTTTTTTTTTTCGTCTCTTTTTGTCTCCTTTTGTGTCTCCTTAATCCTTTAATTCTTTTTGTGTCTCCTCCTCTGTGTCTCTTATTTATTTATTTATTTATTTATTTATTTATTTATTTATTTATTTTATTTATTTATTTATTTATTTATGCAGGTAAGGGAGACAGTACGAGACATTTCCTTCCTTCATAACCATACCTTATTTGCAGCAGGTAATTACTATTTATTTATTTATTTATTTATTTATTTATTTATTTATTTATTTATTTATTGTTTATTATTATTCTTTTTCCTCCTTCTTTTCCCTTTACATGATGTATATATATACGTATATATAATATTGTATAAATATGAGGGTTTAGGGTTTAGGGTTTAGGGTTTAGGGTTTAGGGTTTAGGGTTTAGGGTTTAGGGTTTAGGGTTTGTGTTGCAGCCCAGAAGAAATATGTGTATATTTATGATCATCAAGGCATAGAAATTCATTGCCTTAGAGATCTCATGGTGAGTACTAGCTAGCTATATACACCTAGCTAGCTAGCTAGCTAGCTAGCTAGCTATACACCTAGGTAGCTATATAGCTAGCTAGCTATCTAGCTAGCTAGATAGTTGGATAGTATGGATAGTATGGCTAGCTAGGTAGCTACAACATAGCTAGCTAGGTATAAGCTACACCATACCCAGCTAGCTACAGCATTGCTCGCTAGCTACATAGTGCTGTCTCCTCTGTTTGGCTAGCTAGCTAGCTAGCTAGTTAGCTAGCTAGCTAGTTAGCTAGCTAGCTAGATGTAGCTAGCTATAGCTAGCTATACAGCATATTTGCATGCATGCATGCATGCATGCATGCATTTATTGTGTATTATTTGTTGCAGTTAACTTACCGCCTTGAGTTTTTACCTTATCATTTCCT